TTTAAACAAAAATGCAATATCCGTGAAATAATATTTCATACAAACCAAAATCAAACTGATTTTTCAAAAACCTGGCTATGACTTGTTTCCTAATTCTAATCTTGTATCTCGGAATATGAGGCTATGTAAAGTTAAAATGTCAGGAAGGTAATTCAGTCCTTGGTATGCAGAAGACCTTAAAAAAATAACAATAACCAAAATTTTAACAAAAAAAAAAAAAAACTGAGACGTCTTCGTAAAATGTTCATGCTATCAGCTATAATTACCCAATGTCTTTGCGTTGTTTGATAGATAAGAAGATTGATTTGGAAAGCAATCACTGTCGTCAGTGTCATGATACATAAATGAGCAGAATGCGGCAAACGGTTAATTTTAGCAGACAAACAAGAAAAGCTGGTGTGCACGACATAATTTGATTTTGATTTTAATTTAGAAACTCGAAAGTTAAATCGCAAAGGTCAAATCCAGTCATAAAGTAAAAACAGTTTTTTTACTTAGTAACAACATTTTTTTTTTTTTTTTTGCATTACGTCTGTTATTTGTTTTTAAAACAAAACAATTTAGTGCTGGCTAACTTTTTACTACTACTTGGTGACAAACTCGTTACAAATAAGTAAGTACTACTAAAGTATGTACTTAAAATAGTGGCAAGCATCTTTTTTGTTGTTTATTCAAATCCACCTACACTATTTTTTTTTTACAAGTGTTTTTTTTAGTTTAAGTTTTTATTTGTGTAATTTCCCGGTCTTTAAAAAAAGGGCAGAATATTGTCGAATATAGTGGATGGAAAAGAATATTAACTAAAAAAAATTAATGGGAAATAAAAAATAATTAGAGATAGAACGATGATGCAATTTATGAGAAAGTATCGTCAATAGAAAAAAAAGTTATTTTAAAAATGTCCGGAATTAAGCAACACTGCAAAACAAAATATGAACAAAATTCCTTTTTTCTTAGTCTTCCTCATTTTTCAAACTGTTATTCATTCTCTACATACAGCAAAAAAAACAAAATAAATTCGGAAAAGGGAAAATAATGAGAAAATTTCAGTTATTTTTTTTAGTTAGACTAAAAAGCTGATGCTGACGAATGATTGAAATTTAAAATTTGGAACTGAAATCAGTTAAAAAAAAAAAAAAATAGGAAAAATTAAATACTTATTTTAAAAAATGAAAAGAAAAACTAAACTAAGTTACAAAGAGAGAGAAAGAATCTTTCTTTGAATTTATCGATTGTCTTTAAACAAACCTTAAATAAAAATTAAAAAGGTTTTTAAATATAAATCATAAATGTCATATTTTAGTTTTTGTTAGGACAAAAAAAATTGACACGAGAAAGAAAGCTCTACCAGTCTACCTACAGTCCTACACGCACCTATGTTTGATAATTTGTTTGGAGAAGTTGTGTATTTTTAATAATTCAATCAATTGTTGCAATTAACAGGTTTAATTCAATAATTCGTGAACCGTAAACATTCTTTTTTTCTTCACGTTTTTAAAGTAAAAAAGGCTCGTTATTTTAAATTAGTTCCTCAACAAAAAAAGCTATTGTTTGCAAAGTCTGAATGAATAGTCTGACGTTGATGATAAGGAAAGATGATAACTTATCATTGATAAGTTATTTTTTTTTTTTTTAACCCCTTTTGTAATTGAATTATTTTCTTACTCGACGAAAACTCAACTGTAACACAAAAATCAAAATCAATGTTATTGTTTGTTTTCTATGATTTTTAACAAAAACTGAAATGGATAAAAAAATAAGTTTGCTTTTGCATCTTCCGTCTAGCTTATCAAACACACAACTCACCCAGTTGAGTCATCATAACAACCAAATTTTTAGGACTATTTTCTTAAAATTTAATCAAAATAAAAGTAAAACTTAATTACATACTTTATTTTTAATTGTGAAATTTTTTATACAAAAAAACTCATATTTAAATCAAAACATTTTTTCTATTTTTTTAATTATTTGCCCCTTTGTACGTCGTCAATAAACTATTTTTATATTGACAATGTTTTCTTTCTTTTATTTAATTCTAAAACCACAGACTTGCTTGGAGGAAGGAAGTTTTACTTATTTTTAAAGATCTGTTTTCCTTCTTTTTTTTTTCGTCGTTGTTGTTGAGTCTATGAATGAGAAGAAACTTTAAAATTCACTTTAACAGTTGCTCGAGTAAATTTCAAGATCATTTTCTTCATTAACTTTTGCTCCCAAAATCTTTTTTATCGTGAGAGAAAAGAAAATTGAAACGTTCCCCGCCCGACAAAAGAAAAGGAAAGCTCAACTACAACTCTAACGTTTTTTGTTTTTTTATTTTTTTGTCATTTGAGCTGCACCCAATTTATTAGTTCTGAAATTTATTAAACACTGATTTAAACTAAAATACTTTTAGTGATTTTTTTTTTTTTTACATACATAGCGAGAATTTTTAAATCTAAAATTTGACGCAGGTACTTTCCTATTATCGACAGCCAATTTTTATTTATTTATTTTTATTTTTTTTTATTTTACTAAACTAAAGTTAAGGATTTGGTTACCGAATTAGTGAAGGTACCTCAAAAATTAAGACAAAAAATATTTATTTCTTTTCCAAAACAAATAAATGACGACAAGTATTCATTTTGAAAAACAAATTAGCTGTCGATAACAAAAGTAGGATAATGTCAACAAAATAATAAAATCTTGAAGTGCTCTCATCTCATAGCAATCAATTTTTTTTTTATTACTTTACCAGTTACCTGTTTATCTTTTGTTTGGTTTTGGTTTGGATAATTTGGTCACGTGACCAAAAGTTGTTTTTCTTTTGCCTTTTTAAATGTAGGTTTCAATAATTATTTTGAACCTGAAAATTTTCAATTATGATTATTGTTATGTAATGAAAATAATCATTTTTTAAGTAAGAATATAATCACGAAAACTAATGTAAAAAAAAAAAAAAAAAAAAAAGTATTATCATCACTATTAACCTGAAATATCGTTTTATGGGCCTGTCAGGTCCGATCATAATTGAAAATAATAGAATGTTTATTGTTTACTGATTCAGACTGTCGTCACTCAAAAGTGCACTCATTAATTTTAAAGGTACCGCACCCGGGAAAACGTGAGTTGAAGATGTATGGAATGTTTGTGTCTGTAAAATCTTGTACGACAGGGTTAATTCCTAACATTATTTCCCAACCTTTTAAATAAAATGTTATAAAAAGAACTAAAGAAAAAGTTATTTTTGTTTGAGTCATAAAACAAAGACTGAATTTTTAAAAGAATTCTAGTGTTCAAACTCAGTAAGTAGTAAGCAAACTACTTTTTACAGTAAAAAGTAGTTTTTTTGCTTACCAGTACCACTGAGTAAATTTTTTTTTTACTAAAACTACTCTAAAAGTAAAGATTGCTTTGTTGATTTTTTAAGAAGAGATTTTTATCTTCCAAGTTACTTTACAGCTTATTGGCGCAAAAATTCCATTTGATTGTGACAGGTATGGTAAGAATTTTTATAAAAGAAAGTGTAAACAAAATATTGATTGTAATGATTTAATGTAAAAAAATGTAGTAGTACGTGTTTTTTGATATATATATTTTTTTTGAGAAATCGTAAAAAATAATTAAATATTTTGTGTTTAATGCCAACATTCGTAATTTCTTGTATACAAGACAAGTTGTAAAAACCAAAACCAAAAAAGAAAAACTTTTTTTTTTCTTTGGTCACAAGACCATAAGTGCGAATTGACTAGACATGCTTCTCAACAGAGAACGTAATTAAACTTGTATTTTTATATAACATTTACAATAAAAAATAAAAATTAACCAAGGATGCTGAATTTAGTCAATTTTTATTTGGAAAATTGGCAGAGCACAATATTTGATTGTGCCTACCTTTGCTTTTTTTTGTGACAGTGACACTCAGTCTAAAAAAAAAAACTAGAGACTCTTGTCTTGTGAGTCTTGCTTGACAGAATTCGTAAGATTTTTTTTTTAATTAAAGAGCTAAGCTTTTAGGGGTTTACTTCCCTAGTAGGTATTTTCAGATTCTCTAATAAGCGTACTTAGGCAATTACTCTTCATTAATACATGATTGATTAAAAAGCTAGAGATGTATTTTTTCCTTATTTATTTATCATTCCAATAAAAAAGGATCTTAGTCATGTGTAACCTTTCAAGAATGCGTTAAAATTTTAAAAAATAGAGAAATTTTTTTTTATAAGTAACCTCCCTAACATTATGAATGCTAAAAGTTTCAAAAAGACTGAATGATGCAACTCAACTGCAATGAGGCACTGTTGCTAAAAAGAATGTTGGTGTTTGTTAGTAAATAAAGAATCAATTCTTATGAAATATTATAAATAATTACTTAATTAATATTGTGAATGGGAGGCTTTAAATAACACGATGCAAAAAAAATGAACAGTTTTTTTTAGACTCAAAATTAAAATTTAATTACTATTCAATTCATTATGACACATATCATATTCAAAAATATCCTCCTTAATGATTCAAGTAAAAATAAAAAATAGAGTGGCAAATAAATATAGTTTATGTAAATAATTATCAAAAGTGATGTCAATACTGTTCGATAATAAACCCCCATTTTTTCAATTTTAGAGCCATATTGATCATCCACCAGGTGAAGGCTCATTTGATAAGAATGTTTATGTTTATTTTAACAAATAAATTAAAAGAAGAGTTATTTAACGTATTTGGAGAAGAATATGGCATATTATTTTATTTATGTAACAATATAAGATTGATTTAAAATTTCTTTTGTCATAAGATTTATTAAAGATAAAATTAGGTTCCTATTTCAACGTATAAAAATAAAATCGATCAATGAATTAACATACAAAGAAGAACAAAAAAATAATGTGTAAATAAAATATTAAGTAATAAAACACCTTGAAAAGATTAATTATAAAGACTAAACAATAGATATCAACAACAAAAAAATACTTCGTTCGTTATTGACATTTTTTGTGTATATAAACAAAAAATGAAAATATTTCACCTACCAAAACAATAAGTGAAGGGCAATAAACCATAGAATGCTCCATCGGGGTCTTTCCCAAACTAGAAGGCTCTGGATTTGCATAATCCATCCTTCCCAAGGACTGAGATAAGTCCGAAGTACCTCTTCTTGTTTGCTTACACTGTCCATGACAGATTCAATAACTATGAGAACTGTGTCCAGCAGGTAAACAACAGAGCAGAAATACACGAGTGCGCAAACACCATTTTCCTCTTGCTTAGTTGCTTGCGATGACGTCACTTGCTACAATGTAGCTTTCGGCAAACTTCGGTATTTTCCGTTCATACAATAAAATACCTCTCACATTTCTTCTGACTATATAAATACATAGAGAACTTTTTCCCCTTTTATCTCGACGTTAGTGAATATATTCCATTTACATTTATCAAGGCCAGAAATTAATAATAAAAAAAATAATTTTTATAAAATAAATGAAAAATGCTTGTTTGCAAGAATAAAAAAGCGGATGTACTGTGATTTAATTTATTTTTTAATTTAAATCAGTTTTTTAAAAATTGATTTTAGCTACTTGTTCAGCTCTAGCAAAACTTGTAAAAAAAAAAGTTAAGTTAAAAGAAATGATAGGAGCGCGTTGTCATAAAAAAACGTAATAAAGATCATAAAATGATAAAAATAAAAATAAAATTGATGAGAGTTGATTTTATGATGACTTTTTAAATAAATATTTATTATTTACTATCATCAACACAACATGCACACGCGCACAAAAAAAAAAACAAAAAAAAAAACAACTAAATTCGTTTAATTTACGGATTGAACTTTAATAAATTTACCATATCTTAAAAAATTCAATCTCAGTAAATCATGTTTATTGTTAAATGTTAACTGATAAAGTTTATTAAATTTTGTGTGTAAGAGCTTCAACTTTTGAAGCTCACTCACACTCAAAATTTAAATTAAAATAAAATAGTTTAAAATACCTCCTAGCTTGTTGTAAAACTGCAAAGATTCCATAGGCGTGTTTGAAAAAGAAAACAGAAAAATCACACACAAGAGAAGCGATCAACATTACAACTGAGAAAAATAATATAAAAATTATTAAAATTTACGGACGTAGTAGAAAACTCGTCATTGAAAAGAAAAGAACGAATTTTCAACCAATCTATGTTAGTTTGAGTAAATTCACAAACATTCAAAATTGTAACTCTCGAAAGCAAATAAACTAAAGTAAACACAAGAAGACTATGTAACAGGTCGTTGTCAGACAATGAAACATTCCTGCGCGTCTGCACCAAACTGACTCCCTTCACCCAGAGAGGGAAACAAAATCGCTAGAGATCAAAGGACTCGCTGACAACTGAAACTATATGCCGATATGCTGATGCTTCCTTTTGAATTATAAACTGTAAGCAATGACATTTACCAACCAAATGTATGTATTTTCTCTATATCAGACATTTTCATCCATTTCTATGAACATTTTATTTTTAATTAAGAGTTAAGAGTACCGTTTACTTGACTATAAAAATATTGTAGGGACATTATTATTATCAATAAATAAAAATATAGAATGATAATAATAATAATGAATATCATAAATAAAATAAAATAAAACAATGCTAAAACTTTGTTTAAAATAAATAAATAAAAAAAGAAGTTCTCCCAGCATGCAACAGAAATTTTTCCTACCAAAAAATGAACAAAAAACGCTAAATTCTGTCTCTTCGCTACTGACCGTTGGAAAGTCAAGATGTCCAGCTCTTCTCCTTGGCACATTGGTCGTTATAATACAAAATGACTTCTTCCTTTTATCATATGCAACCTTAAAACACTTGTAGCTAAAATACACGCATACCAGTACATAAAAATAAATTGTATGATTTTAATTTACAATTTTTTGGTGTTTTAGTGTTATTTCTGTGTATGTTTTTATTCCTGTGAATACAAGGCTATTTCTGCTGCTATGATATGAATGACCCTACAAGATGAAAACCAACTAACAAACACCCTTAGCATACAAAAGCTTCATTGTAAAAATCTATATATAAAATTCTGTGACTTCCATTAGTCTGTCCATCTGTTCATCTGTTGCACCCTCTAAAATATATATATATATATATATATATATATATATTGTTTTATTGTCTTGTTTGAGGAAACTTTTATGCATCCATAACACTCTTACTAAATATATCTTTTCAACAAATGGTAATAACCACAACAACATCAAGAAATGTGTTTGATAGACATTAAGAAAATTATGTTTGCTTCAAAATTTTATTCCAATTCCTCAAATATGTGTGAAGGATATTTTTACATAATATTTACCACAAATCTATACAAAACACGAATCACAACATAAGAAAATTTGATTTTTGGCATTTATCTATTCTGGCCAATAATAAAATAGAATGCAATTAGCCAATCAGCAAATAGTCAGTTGAAATACATTTGTAATTCTGTCATTCTCTATAAATATCAATTTTTTCCTGCAAAAAAAACCCCCCAAAAAACTATACTATTTACACTATTTAAATTGTTTGAACTATTGTCTTCACCTTTATTGTCATATTCACAACGTTTCAGCCATTGTATGCTCCAGCCTTCTTCAGGTGATATATGCTGGAATTTCAAATCGAACCCTTTATTTTGTCCACCAGGATAGAATGTTCTAGTTCCAAGCGCCATGTCTTTTCTGGATATTTCTGTTTCAGTTATTTCCCTTTAGAAATTCTATTCTTAAAGATTTTAGTTCACCTCTGCTGTGACCAGGTATTGAACTCACAAGTCTTAGGGTTAAGACACTGGATTACTTCAACCAATGCTTTTATCAACTGGGCCACGTGTGGATAAAATAAAGCATTTGGTTTGAAATTCCAACATATATCACCTGAAGAAGCCGGAGCATATAACAGCTGAAACGTCATAATTATGACAATAAAGATGAGGACAACAATCTGAACAATGTAAATAGTGTAAATAGTTCCAATACTTCATCTCAGAAATATAGACAAAAACTGTAATCTTTTAAAATGTCCCAAGAGACAAGTATGAATTACTCACAAAAACACCTTAGTGAGTTATTTGTCTACAGTGAGACAAGAATTGTATGTTAATTCACTCATTTTTGGTACATGTATACCTAATTAACTATAAAAACAGAAAATTTATCAGTGCTTTGCAAACCAAATTAAGTAAGCAGAAATGAAAACAACATTTTTGATTGGTAATTTCTCTTTATCTTTATAAACACCAAGAAAAAAGGTTGAATGAATCTTGTATCCAATAAGAATTTTCCTACTCAGTCTAACTCTTTTTGAAACACAAATGTTCAAAATGACATTTTGTTTTTTCTAATGCAAATCCCAACACCAAATTACAACCAACAGTAACTTCATTCAAGGCTGATTTTATGCATTACTAGACTGTACACATGCATACAAGTATATTAAAGTTACATATACATACATACAAACAAATGTAATGAAATAAATCTACACACAATCCCATCACTACAAAGACTGCCAGAAGCTACTTACCTGCTATATAAGACACTTTTACTTACAATTTAGGCTGTAAACAGAAAGTAAACTTAAGAACTGAATTTTTTTATTCACTGTTTATTTGTTAAGAATAAATTTTGTTAATTTTGTGTCATAAAACATTGTTAATTTTGTATTTCAATTGATAACTGTTTTGAATATTTAAAATGTAAAGTTGAACACACACACACTTTTTGCATAAGTAGCATACACTTTATTACCCTGGGTTGAGACTAGCCTACGTGATGATATCATAAGAGTTATATTACTTTAAGTGAATTATTAGGTACTATCTGTATGACCAATCAGAGCACAGAACACATACTCACACGTGCACAAAGGTTTTTCTAACCAATCAGCTTGTGTTGCATCAAGCCGTTTTTGTAATCCACTTTATTGGCATAAAAAGATGAATCAGCATTTTCCAAGCTTAAATTTAGTCAACTAAATATTGCTGTTGACACCAAAGCAGTATACTTGAAATAATGTCTTTAGTTGGTAGTAAAATTTATGAAGTTTACACATGTATGATTTATTGTTAAAAATAAAACAGAAACTGTGAGGCATTGCATGTTGTCTCTAACTTCTTGTGTTCTATTGGCAATTCTTCTGGTTCCAGTGCAGCTTCACAGTCTTGTTATATACTCAGGGCTGAATTATCCTATAGGCTAGTAGTATAGGTTGCAGTCTAGGGTTCCTCAAGCTTGTTTATAATGCTGGTTATAAAAAAATCTTATATATTTAGTATGCTTGTGTTGAAATATGTGCAAATTTGGTTTGGAATAAATACTAAAATAATGGTATTTCTTAAAGAGTAGTCTTATTGACAAATAAATGATAGCCATTCTAGTTTATTTAAAGAATTTACAATAAGTTTACTTCATGTAAATGTCACTAAAATATATCACATGTAAAAAATATTCAAGATGGGTGTAGCTGAGTTAGAGGGTTGCCCTGTCAGAAGGAAGTGGTGGCATCATTAGCCTAGGGGCCCTAAAAGGCCATTATTCGATTCTGTATATATTGTATATGGTTACAAGAATGACAAGAATGTATTGGTAATGAGGCAAAAAGAAAAGGAAACAAGATATGTTAAATTAAAATTATTTGTATTACCAGCGTATACATTAGCTCAAAAGTAGAATATCTCTTGTAGGTGAGAAGGGTGACACTTGTGAGCAAAGAGGTCTGATCTCAAAAATGGATAAGTTGGTTGTGTACTGGTTGTGAAGCTTAAGTCAGGTTGATTGACCAAAAAACTGCTGTTAGCTGCCTTGGATGTTACCAAGCAGGTCCTTTTAAGCAGTCAAGGTGGATACATAATCAGCATTCTTGTCACCTTTTTGCTTTAGTAGCAATGTTCGTAATTGACACTGATGTTTAAATTTTATTTTATTTTTTAGGTATTTGTTTTGTGAGCTCATTGTAATGCTCAAAGCCAATGAAACTGACCAAATTTTATTTTATAATTTTGCTTACATAGTGTTCACATCCATCCAGCAGATTTTAATGTAGATTGAATCAGAAAGAGGGTCTAATTTGAAGCAGCATATAACAGACTGAATGAATAACAGACTGTTTTCTTAGGTTTCTTTTTCTAATGTTATTTTTGAGTGGGGACACAGT